TACCGTCTACTTAAACTATTAATATAGTTTGTGAGACGTGTTCTAGACTTAGTATTGTTGTACAGTATGTCAGATCGGAATTTATGTCAGTTCGGAATGGACATAGATTCCGATCTGACATAAATTCCTATCTGACATACAACAATATTATGCTAATGTAATGACAGACGACAACTTGTGTTCGTTGCAGGTCAATTATCTATACTCGTCTCAATGGTAACCGTTACAGCTTAACCTTCTCAACCTCTTGCACAAGTGTGCAACAGTTCTGTTTTACTTTCCTGTCTTTATTGGCGATTTCTACTCCTAGTTCGAAAAGTTAGTGGCTTTAAGCCCGCGATTCCCCGACGTTAATTCTGGATAACTATTTATTAACACTACTTCTACTAGAGTAATAGCCTATAGTTTGAATCCTAAGTGTGTCAGCTGTAGCGCGCGTTTCTCGATTAACGGAATCCATATTTGCTAAGTTAGAGTAAATCGATTGATCGCTCTTACCAATAGAGGGGTTAACAATTTCTGGCTCTATCGGTACGGTTATCAAGTGAATGTGCGTCCCATGCACTTTTGTTAAAGGACTGCTCTATTATTGGTGTGTCGCGAGCTGACCGAAAGGACTTTATCTGAATATATGTTTGCTAGCGAATTCTAAAAGGTAATTTATATCTTTTGATGTTTCGCTAGTTAGTTCTAGTAATTATTACCGTACTCCTCCGAATGTATACCGTGCCAATAAAAACAGCCTAACATTATTGCCTTCGTATTCTTCATTACTTCGGAATCCAGAGGCCATTACTGAGTCAAGACATGAGACACTGGGAAACATAAAAAGTTACGACGCAAGCCATTCGAAGTTTTTATATACTGTACAGTATCTATGCGTTAATCGTGACCAAATTATCTGCAGCCAATAGAAGTTTAAAGAAACAAATCGAGGATGTACACGAGCACCCTGGGCACTAAATTGAATAAATGGGATACACATGGCGGAGGAGGGCTGATGTTATATCGTTGCCATTTCTGTCTTCGATTTGGATGGTGCCTTCAAAATTCTGTGGTACAATGGCTGCGGAAGAATATGTAGTGTATATTCTTTATATTTGGTATTCTATCCCGTACTACATTAAACTCTCGCGTATTGTAAGAAATTGACAATTTGGTTTTTTGGTTACAGTATTGATAATACATTCGTCTTATTATACAATGGACTTGTGTGAAATTTGTTAGATATTTCTAGCAACAGTTATATCATGCGAAATGTTATTATAGCCAAAGAAAGTAGCCTTCAAAGCAAGCATAGAGTGTGTTACGATTATAAATTGGTGTCACCAAAACTTCAGCCACAAAAAGAAGCAACCTGGTAACGATCGATCATTTCATTATACGTTCGCTAGTATAGATCTTTTGACAGCAATATACGATTGTTATAGATAAATGTAGCAAGGTTAGAAAGGGATAGAGAGGACTTTTTAAACCATTATGTATTACTTTTAATGGCGTAGAAATCGGCAACAAGCAAGCTTGCAGTAAACAGTAACACGAAAAATGCGATTCCAGGTAATGCAATGGGGTACAGCTAATAAAGGACGCAAAACTCCAGGTAATGCATGGTTACACTTTCACGTTCTATACATAAATAATGTGCATCAAACCCCCAACAACCGCTCACTCATTTACACTGGAATAGTCTGTTAATCTTATACCGCTACTAAAAAACTATATCGTAAAGCGTAAATACTCAACTGCCTGTTGGTGACATATCACCACAAAGTTACTTACAACCAAACACACGCTATTATTCTCAAACTAACTATATCGTCAAGCGTAAATACTAAACGACAAAATGTTGCCCCAGTGGACAGTGACTGTGAGCAAAATACAATACCTACCTGTGCTCATGTTAATATGGTTTTTCCTTCATTCACTTATGACCTAAACTTTACAGGAAGACAACTTGCTAAGAGTCTTAGCACATCAGCATAACGGAAATTGGTCTCTTATTGCAGAAAGGCTCTGCAAAGCTACTAATATAATGAGGACTGCAAAACAGTGTAAAGATCGGTAAGTGTAGGGAAAACTACTGCACTCTATGGTATTGTACACAACGTACGTATGCTGGAACTAATAACTATTTACTGGGTTTTTTTTTCTAGTTTCGATAGAATTTAAAGCCGCATTAATTAATAGAGAATATCTCAAAGTTCTCACAGAACGATAGCCCCCCCCCCCCAACAATATTATAATGTATTAATATTAAACATAGACGTCAAATAAACTCATGTATAATTATCAATATTAATAAAGATTTAGCATATATATTCCGATACATTTAAAAGCCCGTGGCAAGTTTTGACGTTGTGTATATAGTGTGCAAGAGATGGACACAGAGAGAACAAGGAGCAAAGACCACAAACTAAAAGAAACGTGAATGAATAAATACTGTGTGTCCGCAAAGTTTGCCAAGTTGTTTCCAATGCCGCATTGATAGTACTTCAAGGGGAGCCGTTCATTCCCAATCATTCCCTGACAACCTTTCCCCGACAATCATTCCCCGACAATCATTCCCCGACAATCATTCCCCGACAATCATTCATTCCCTGACCTGACAACCCTTTCCTGAAATCATTATTCCTCGACAACCATTTCTGACAATATTCCCTGATAACCATTCCCCAACACTCAGATCTTTTGATCCAGGTAAAAATAAATCTGGTAGGCAAAATAGGCGTTTTGAAAACATTAACGGATCGGTCATTACAGTTTGACAAACGGTTGAGTTAGTTTACAGATTATACTGTAAATAATAAACAGGGACGAGCGATTTTTGAGAGAGCAATTGTCGGAAACTGGAGGGGAATGAGAAATAAACCAGCCCTACGTCAAGTGTTCACTAAAACTGCTTCTAAAATCGAGTCAACGTATTCCTTATAAATACTTCGAATAAAGCATCCTAAAATCGAACGCATATTAAAGAGCAGGCAGTTGGTTAATAGTCAGTTCTGTAAATGACAAAAACATGAACACACCTACAATGATTTGTCATGTCTGATAAGTTGATCGTGCCATTTGTACTAGCGTGATATCGTTAATCGTTTGTTTATACAGACTCTTGATTAATTGTAGATGTGTTAGTCGTGGAAACATCTTAATTGCAAACAAGTTCTTGTTTCGAAGTACAGTCCAACCTATAATGAAGTCAACGGGACGGGGTTTTTCTTCGCTATATCGGAAATTCACTATATCAAGAATTTTCAATATAGTCAAGTTCTTAATAATACTGTTTTTCTTCACTATAGTGCCATATTCACCATATCGATCTTCATTATATCGAGATTAGACCGTACCTATATTGCCATTTTATTTCAAAGATAAAATGTCAATAGTAGCATTGTACACCCGACAATCGTTCTCACCTGGTAAGTTTGCAAATCCCGTTTGAAATGAAAAATCAACAAGTTACAATTCGTGTTTAAAATTGGATGGGAGCTGTTTGTGAATGAAAATTTCAGTAATTAGCAAAGTATTGTGAACAGAGACGGTTACTGTCGAATGTCTCTTGCGAACGAACCAATAGTTTCAAGATTATTCGGACAAGTTGACTATGGTAGTAATTAAAAAGTCTAGTTCATTTCCCCGACAGTCATTATTTATATGTAGTAATGCATTTATAGATAAGCATCATAATACGTAATAATCAAACACGATACTGATACTAGCGTCTATTTGTATGCAAGGAATTACAAGGGAAATGATTGTCGGGGAGTAAATTAAAATGACTGTCGAGGAAATGATTATCGGTGAACGAACGCCACCTGCAAATAATTGATGCTTACCTTAAACTCACAAGGTTAGAATGTAATCGTGTGCAGGTAATCTACGAGATAAGTTAGTGTAATATTAATATTGTTTTTCAGCAAACCAATGCGATAGCAAAGCCATGAATCCCCCCCCCCCCACATTTCCAGTAACTATCAGGAAAATGAACCCAAATCGAGACTCTATACATATAATAAAGGTGGTACATGAGAAAGTTATCCACGAACCTTCCTTTCCTGGATTTTTGTCAACTGTTGCCTTCTGTTTAAGTTTTTGTAGTCCGCATGTCTCAATGCCTCTTTTGCCTTGAGCAACGATTGTCCAGTTATTCTTTTCATGTAATAGTGTCTGTCATATGCACGTTTCTGTCACGGGTTCTGAAATTTCGATGACGTATCGATAAGCCCCTATTTGTCCAACTTGAAGTAAACTAGATTCAAATAATCGGAGTTTTCGGAGCTTTTTCCAACTCAAAATCTTCAAACCTTACTTACCCCATTCTAAAGCAACAGGTAATATACACATGTTTGACCATAATACGATATATTGGATGTCGCATACAATATGTTCTGTGATATCGGCTGTGGGATAATGTCTAACATGAATGTATATGTTTACGGACATTATCAAACCTTGCCTTATGCCTTGGCACCGGGCTATGTAGAGGCCTGTTTAAAGCTTAGAACTGCCGTTTCCCGTCAATTATGCAGGGTAGTTGTTAAGCGGACATGTTAATGATTATCTTACACTGCTGGAAAACGTTATTTCCTTATTCAGTGGTTGTCCCATTTCAACTTGACTATTGTTGGTATATAACCATTTGAATTATTTCTATCAACATATCTTTAACGATATAATTACTTTAATAAAAATGACAACCATTTATTATCACATCTAACCTTGGGCAATCTGTAGATAATATATACAATTTGGTGCAACACTTAATATAAACTAATAGAGTCAATCTATGCGTTTGCGTAGCGATACATTTCCCTCTTCTTTCGTTCTTTTGGTAATATTTTGCTATTTTTAATTAGTTGTACGCATTGGAAACGAGAAAACTTGGTAGTGCGACAAAAGTTTACATTTACTACATAGTACTGTGTTTGATATCTCTGGCAATTTTTAATCATTGCAGATGTTGAACAGTAAAGAGTAGTGGGGCGATAAACAAGGTGCAAGTGATGGCTACGAGTTTAATGCTAGTGGACGAATGTGTAGATAAAAATGCTGTCCAAGGAGTGTAATTCTGTTTAGGTAACGCAAAACTTAAATAATATGTGTGTCCTCACACCCTTGTCAACGAAGCGTTGTTAAAAATTTTCTTGTCATACAAATCGATCCACATTGTGCATTATCGCGATGCTATTTTTAAAATTTTGATCTTCAACTCTGCTGCACAGTGCTATCACAATAAGCCTTAAAATGTTAAGACAAAGTGAACATCTTTAAGGTCCACAGCGTTTGATTGAGAATGGGCGTTTACATAATCACTTTGCTCCGCAAAAACAAATTGACTGACTTCAACGGTTTACGCTCCTACAGTTTGTCCACAACTCCCCAGTCAACCGGCATTGTTCTCGCATTTCTTGCTGCAACGTTTGTTTTAGTCTTCTGTTCTTCATTAGCTGCCAAACTCCAACAACAGTAGCGGATTGTGAGGACTAATATTAAATTATGGCGTATATTCTTCCGATGACATCAAGATTGCACAATTGAGATAGGCGACCACGTGCGCTGATAAAATTGATATATAAGAAGCACACTTTCCGATAGAATTCATCATGTTTGCATCATGTTCCTTTGTAATAACCGAGTAGTTCTTTCTAGTCTGGTAAATTATTCGATATAATTGTAAAACCCTAATTCCTATATCGATTAGGAATATCCGCCTCTTGTCCCGTGGATATTTACAATTGTTGTTTGCTCAAGATTAGAAGTACGTTTGAATACATATATAACCTATAGGCTTCCGAATTAATCCCATCGGAAGGGAATAGTCGATTACCCAGGGGACCAATTGCTCTCCCGCGATTGTTGACTCGACAGGATTAAAGATGCCAAGGCGTCTTCCAGACTGCATTTACACCCCTCCGAATGTATACCCCGGAATATATACCCCGTGAGTTGTACCCTACTAATAACGTGCTAATAAAAATTATCGCATCCGACTTCTTTGTATTTTTTATTACTTCGGAATCCAGAGACCATATACTAAATCAAGGTATGAAACCCAGGAAGCTACGATGTAAGCAGTTTCGAAGTTCTCATATATTAAATACAGTATCTAATAATGCGTTAATCGAGACCAATCAGAATGCACACGGTCCATTAAAATTCTTGTGATACCATGAGCTGCGGTTACAGTCGCACGTCGATATCACATACTGTTGTACAAACACCAGATTGGGAACAATTTAATTCCGGTCAGTTTTATATCTAATTCCTAGCCAGAATAAGCATAGTGCTGGCTCAAAACACAAAACGCTCAATACATATTATACTTTTATTGCACGCTCTAATAGATTCTCCACCATTAACGCATCCTCAGTTATCCTGTCTATATCACTCATCATCATCAGCTACATTTTCATTACATTCTTCAATCATCTCGTTTTCAATATATTTCTTTGTCATGCTCGACAACATCGTACACTATTCGGAGAGCATTGGTATATCCATCAATGCTTTACTTTCTGTAAAATCAAAAAGAATAGCGTTATTTATATTTCGATCTTCTCTTTTCTCTTCTCTTACACAGTCCCGCATACGATCACGGTAAGAAATACTGAGGTTTTGAATAAATCGTCTGTTGAGACCAATTCCTTATCAATGATCTTTGGAGTGATTGCGCCGTCCCGAGGTATTGCTGGTCTTGAGCATGATTGCGCCATATTAATATGTGCTGCCCAAGACGTATTAGCCTGCTTTTGAACATGAATATTATGATAATCCTCAATACTTAACACTAAGGCCCTATCCAAATGTAATATAAGACACTTCTCTACGTATTCTCCATGAACATCTGACATTTTCTTTTTCCTCCGATCTACGGCCTTACTCCTAACTATATATAGCAATGATATCTTGATCACTAAATACGTCTTCCGTGACACTTGGCTCGTTGTTAATTGATTGAATATATCTTTCCATAGCCAAGGCAAATAAGTGACTATAACCCACCTTAACACTAGCTAAGTAGGAGCAACTGGAATTTGGAATGGTCTATTTTTGACTGGTCGATCATAGTCAACAATGCAACTTTTGTTGGTTATAAAGAGGTTGTGACTATATAGAGGTTTTTTCTATAAGTTTAATAGTAATTGGTTCTCAACATGGTATGCTTATAAAGAGGTTTTTATATTATATGCTTATAGAGGGGTGACTGTAGAGGGGGAACGACTGTACTTGCGTATAATGATAATATATATTGGTAATTAAAATGGTGTGGTGTAACAGTGACTATTAACCTAAATGGGACTACATAGAGGTAAATTTCATATTAATTAATATAATAATAATAAAAAAATGAATTGGTAAATTGCAAAGAGTGACTATATCGAGGTGCGACTGTATATTGTAAATTATAATGTGTTACATCCATGTACGGGTTACAACAGTAATATTTCCCTGGTAAATGACAGAGTTACGGTTGTACACAAACTGTCTATAATAGCTAATTACGCTTCACAAACAGCTCACAACTCCCCTTTCAACATTTCAGGTTGGCAGTAAACACCCCCCCCACACACACACACACACACCGCTCATCTCATTAGTTGGATATCCTCATACCACTTGCGACAAACGCTGCTATTACTTTCAAGCTATATCGCAAAGCGTAAATACTCAGCCGCCTGTTGGGGCATATTATCATAGAGTTGCTTACGACAAAACGCAACTATTTTACTTCTCCAACTAACTATATCGTCGAACGTAAATACTATATCATACGACAAAATGCCTCAGTGGACAACGACCGTAAGCAGAAATACAATACCTGTCTGTGCTCATATTAATACGGTTTTTCCTTCATTTACTTATGGCCTAAATTTTTCAGGAAGACTACTTGCTAAGAAAACTAGCATCTTATTATAATAGAAATTGGTCTCTTATTGCAGAAAAGCTCTACGAAGCTACTAATATTATGAGAACTGCAAAACAATGTAGAGATCGGTAAGTGTAAGGGAAATTGCCGCACTCTATGGCACTGTACACAGCGTACGTATGCTCGAACTAAATAACTATTTACTGGTTTTTTTTCTAGTCATCCGAGAGTCTAAAGCCGTATTAATTAATAGAGAATATCTCAAAGTTCTCACAGAAGGATAGCTCGCTCTATATATCTTGTATTAACATAGACATCATACAGACTCATGTATAAATATCAATATTAATATACCTAGCATATTATATGTTCTGACACATTTAAAAGCCTGTGACAAGTTTGAGGTCGTGTATATAATGTGCAAGTTGTTTCATCTAGTAATCAATGCCGCATTGATAGTACCTCAAGGAGAGCCGTTCATTCCCTTCCCCGACAGCGACAATCTTTTCCCTCAACAGTTATTTTCCCCACACTCATTTCACCGACAATCATTTCCCCTTCCCTCACACTTACTGCACCAACAATCATTTCCCCGACAATCATTCCCCACAATCGTTTTCGAAGTTATCTTTTGTCGATAGTTGATCTGCGCAAAGTAGGTTTTTGAAAACATTAACAGATCAATCATTGACAAACGTTTGAGTTAGTTTTACAGATTATACTGTAAATAATAACAGCGACACAGTGAAAAGTACCGGAACCCGTCCGATCTCCGCAGTTAAGCCACTGGTGGCCTGGTCAGTACTACGGTTGGGGACAACGTGGGAAACTGTTATTTAGTGCGATACTTACATTAAATGCTTCTAAAATGGAGTCAACGTATTTCTTATAAATACTTCGAATATAACATCCTGAAATCGAACACATATTAAAGAGCAGACGGTTGGTTAATAGTCAGTTCAATAAATGACAAAAACATGAACATAGACCTACAATGATTTGTCTGAAAGTTGATTGCTTGTACTAGCATGATATCGTTAATCGTTTGTTACTTATCTGCCATCCATGACAAACTCTGGCAGATTTATACAGACTCTTGATTAATTGTAAATATGCTAGTCATGGATCGCTAACAAGTTCTTGTTTCGAAGTGCGTCAATAGCAGTATTTGTACACCCGACAATCGTTCTCACCTACGTAAGTTTGCAGATCATGAGTAGAATAAAAAATCAATAAGTTAGAATTCGTGTAGTTTAAAATCGGACGCATAAGAACACTCACTTTTGCACAAGTTCTACTAGTATTGCGTAAGCAGTTCTGAGCTGATGTGCATCTGGATTCTTTTATTAACTGCAATATGTATTTGGGCGATCACCTCGATAAATACAATATTGTGTTGTAGAAAAAGTTAACGTATCAACCGACAAATAGAAAGGCGAAGTATACTTACTGTATTTAGTAATAGCTTGGATAGGAGGCTATTTGTAAATGAATTTTTCAGTAATTGGCGGAAGTATTGTAAAAGACGGTTGCTGTCGAATGTCTCTTGCAATGATAGTAGATAAAGGGTCTGGTTCATTTCCCCGACAATCGTTTCTGATAGTCATTATTTAATGTAGTAATGCATTTATCGATAAGTATCATAATACGTAATAATCAACTAACGTCTATTTGAATACTGTCGAGGAAATGATTGTCAGAGAATGAACGCCACCCGCAAATAAGGGCTAATTTTTACAAGAACATTTCTTTGATGCTTACCTTAAACTCACGAGGTTAGAATGTAATCGTGTGCAATCTGCGAGATAAGTTAGTGTAATATTGATATTGTTTTTCAGCAAACAAAGCCATAAAAAAAAAACCTTTTTTTTCCCACATTTCCAGTAACTATCAGGAAAATGAACCCAAAATCGAGACTATACATATAATAAAGGTGGTACACAGTCCACCCCGTTAATCCGAACCCCGTTTAACCGAAGGACTAAGTAAACCCCCCGTTAAACCGAAGGTAAGTTCTAAACCCTCTATTACTATATTAAATTTACCCCGATAAACCGAATTTACTAATTTAACCCCGCTAAACCGAATTTCTTAGCATTTCCCACCTATTACTATGTTCCCGACCCACTTCAGTTTAACGGATTTCACTATGTACATGAGAAAGTATCCACGAACCTTCCTTTCCTGGATTTTTGTCAACTGTTGCCTTCTGTTTAGGTTTTTGTAGTCCGCATGTCTCAATGCCCTCTTTTGCCTTGAGCAATGATTGTCCAATTATTCTTTTCATGTTCGATAATAGTTATATGCACGGTTTACTTTGTTTCGTCACGGGTTCTGAATTTCGATGACGTATTAATATCGATAAGGCCCCCGATTTGTCCAACAACTTAAAGTAAACCAGGGTCAATAATCGGAGTTCGGAGCTTTTTCGAAAAAATGCAACTCAAAAATCTCAAACTTTACTTACCCCCATTCTAAAGCAACCCAAAATTACAGGTAATATACACATGTTTGACCATAATACGATATACTGGATGTCGCATACAATATGTTCTGTGATATCGGCTGTGGGATAATGTCTAACATGAATGTGTATGTTTACGGACATTATCAAACCTTGCCTTATGCCTTAGCACCGGGCTATGGAGAGGCCTGTTTAAAGCTTAGAACTGCGTTTACTCCGTTTCCCGTCAATTATGCAGGGTAGTTGTTAAGCGGACATGTTAATGATTATCTTACACTGCTGGAAAACGTTATTTCTTTATTCGGTGGTTGTCCTATTTCAACTTGACTATTGTTTGGTATATAACCATTTGAATTATTTCTATCAACATATCTTTAACGATATAATTACTTTAATGAAAATGACAACCGTCTATTATCACATCTAACCTTGGGCAATCTGTAGATAATATATACAATTTAGTGCAACACTTAATATAAACTAATAGAGACAACTAAAACAATGTATGCGAGATAGCATACTACCATTTCCCTCTTCTTTTCCCTATGTAGACTAGTTACACGTTCGTTCTTTCAATAATATCTATTTTTAATTAGTTGTACGCATCGGAAACGAGAAAACTTGGTAGTGCGACAAAAGTTTACATTTACTACATTGTACTGTATTTGATATATCTCTGGCAATTTTTAATCATTGCAGATGTTGAACAGTAAAGAGTAGTGGGTGATAAACAAGGTGCAAGTGATGGCTATGAGGTTAATGCTAGTGGATGAATGTTTTTCGAATAAAAGAAGTGCAATTCTGTTAGGTAACGCAAAACTTAATAATATGTTGTGTCCTTGTTAAAAAATTTCTTGTCATACACATTATGCATTATCGCTATACTATTTTTAGAATTTTGATCTTCAACTCTAGCTATCAATGTTACAATGAACATCTTAAGGATGGGCGTTCACTTTGCTCCGCAAAAACAAATTGATTGACTTCCCGGTTTACGCTCCTACAGTTTGTTCACAACACCCTAGTCAACCGGCATTGTTTCTCGCATTCCTTGCCGCTAGCTCTACGTTCATTAGCTGCCAAACCTCAACGACAGTAGCGGATTGTGAGGACTAATGACGTATATTCTCGTTACTGACATCAAGATTGTACAATCTATGAGATAGGCAACCACGTGCGCTGAAAAAATAGATATATAAGAAGCACGACTTTCCGATAGAATTCGTCATGTTCACATAATGTTCAATTAATATTCCTTTCTAATAATCGAGTGGTTTTTTATACATTATTAATAATTCGCTCCCTTGTAAATTATTCGATATAGTTGTAAACCGATTAGAAATATCCGCCTCTTGTCCCATGGAAATTTTCGTGGTATTACAATTGTTGTTCGCTTAAGATTAGAAGTACGTTTGAATACATACAACCTATGGCTTCCATCGGAAGGGAATAGTCGATTACCCGGGGGCAAAAATTGTCTAAAATCCGATAGTAAGCCTAGTTTACTGGTCACTAACTGTCATATTTAACCAAAAGTAGGAGAAGCCACAGCTCCGCTCGAACTTAGCTAAATGTCTAGAGTCGACGACCGATTGCTCTCCCACGATTGTTGACTCGACAGGATTAAAGATGCCGAGGTCTGCAAACAGCGTCTTTCAAGTACCAGCTAGACTGCATTTACACTGCTGAAGAGTTTGAAGATATTCAAGAATTAGCTAAAAACGCACGAGCTAGAAATCAACAATGAGCCATTTCAAACATGACTCAAAGGGACGACTCATTCCAACGCTGCAGAGTCCCCCTTACAAAGAAGTTACTTTTGCAGAGATCACAACTTGCTAGCTAAAATGTATGAATGGCGCCCCAAATGGTGTCTAAAGATGACGTACTCCTCCGTGATTTCCGTTTAGTGGTACAACGAAATCAAGTTGCACAACGCTGCGGGATTTCTGTCGGGCGCAGTAGAGTTATTCATCGCTTTTAGCGAAATTCAATTACGCAGCGAATTCCTCGATTAATCGAAAATTTTTCAGTTAGTGAAACGGCAGATAAGTTATATAAGCAGTCGTAATTTCCTTTAGCGATAGCATGAGCATCTGTGTTTAAATATACAGTCGACTCTGTCTATACTGCGAGTGGTTTGGCAGTTTTTGGCCGTTAGATCGGTATATAGAATTGTTACACGGTAGGAAAATTGTGATTTTTGCGATAAATCGTTATTTTTATTTTGAATTTGATGCTGCTGCGAACCAGTTTAATTGACTTCGTTTCCTTTTATCTTTTCTTTTTCTATATCACAGATCATCTCTAGTGCTTCTCCGTATGAAATGCTCTTCGGTAATCATTGTACTATCTGATAATTCACTATTCTCTTGAGGAACCAAATGATTATCTCTTGATCGTTTACTAAGTCAACCAGGATATTCTTGTCGATTTCAATAAATACTACGTCTGTATTAGAATTTTTGGCAGAAATTTTCTTGCGTCGCATGGTAATAATTGAGAGAATTGGTTGAGTTATGGTTACATATATACCAAATAATCAACTTGACTTTGCCGGTATAAAGTAAAACTTTTAGTAAAACTGATCTATATGGATTTGCGTCAGAAGATTTAAGATTCGGCCGTTGTAAGGGTGAGATTAATATGGAATTTTTGGTGCAGTGAATTGGACCGGTATAAGGCAAAGCCGGTTAAAAAAGGCCGGTATATTAATAGACAAAGTTGACTGCAAACTTATTTCGCTCATTGGTAAATTTTTATCGCTGGTAAAAGTGTAAAACGCTTTCCCGTATCGGCGGTATACGAAATCGAACTTGCCTTCGATTTCATTGAAATCTTGACATCAGGATTATGATTTATTTAATTAAAGCGCCTAGTGTAGAATAAATTCCTCGGCCTACAGGTTTTTGAAATTAATCCCATCAAAGAAGTAGACGTAAAAACTCGTAATTAAATAGTAATCTATGGATAGCATATATAAGATCGATCAAGCATCATGAGTATTCGAAAACCAACGTTAAGGTTTCAAGTTATTATTTTCCTTCAAACTTGTTGGAAAACAGGTTTATACGTTGTTACTGATAACTGATTGAGTTATTTTATTAATACACAGTGAACTTGTATATGACTAAAACGAAGTTTTTTCAATGTCTCGAATTTTTGTCTAATAAAATTTCCTGGATATAACTTTAAGATATAACGATAACGAAGTTTAATTCAGCGATTTTTCTCATTTTGGGGTAAATCTCTGTAATTTTGTTGGTTGACATGTTATTAGCAAACTGCTACATGATAGCTTAAAAAGTACGGAATTTGTATCAGTTCTAAGCGGTGATACAGTAATATAATGAGGTTTAGGGAAATGTATTAAATCTTGCTTAAAATTTCTGTTTGAACAAGCGTCTCAAATTAATGTTTTTATTGTGATAACAATTGCTTCAAATTGTCATCGTAGAAGTTTAAAGAAACAAATTGGGATATCAATACGATCAATGTACCCGAATGCACATGTCGGAGAAATACTTTACCGTGCCATTTCTGTCGCTGTCATCCCAATTAAAATTTTTGTGATACTATGAGCTGCGGTGACAGTATGAGATGAATATGTTATAGTTCTTATTTTCGGTAGTTTGATCACGTACTACAAAGCTTAAGCTCTCGCTATTCAGTGACTGTTGTAAGAAATTGACGCTTTGGTTTTTTTGTTGCTAAAAATATTTATTATTGAAGACACGAAAAGTCCATTAACAATACTGTACACAATTAAAATGTGTTACCTCATGTACGGTCTGTTATAAATTGGTACTACCCATATCTCAGCCACAAAAATGAAGAGAACCGGTAACGATCGATACGTTTGCTAGTATAGATCTTTTTGACAGCAATATACGGATGTTATACATCATTGTAGCAAGGTTGGAAATGGATAGAGAAGACTGTTTTTCAAATCATTATATTACTTTTAATAGCGTAGATAGTGTTAGTGTCAACAACAAGTAGCCGGCTAGCTTGCATAACAACAGTAACACAAAAATGATTTTCCCTGGTAATGACGGAATTTGTCCACAAACTGTCTATATAAATAATATAGCTAATTATATAATACCCCCCCCACACACACACACACATAAGTTAGATATTCTCATACCACTTGCGACAAACGCTGCTATTACTTCAAGTTATATCGCAAAGCATAAATACTCAACTGCCTGTTGGTAGCATATCATCATAGAGTTACCTACGACAAAACACAACTACTATTCTTACTTCCCCGACTAACTATATCGTCGAACGTAAATACTATATCATACGACAGAATGTACCCTCCGTGGACAAATACCGTAAGCAAAAATACAATATCTGTCTGTGCTCATATTAATACGGTTTTTTCTTCATTAACTTATGGCCTAAACTTTTCAGGAAGACAACTTGCTGAGAAACCTAGTATATTATTATAACAGAAATTGGTCTCTTATCGCAGAAAGGCTCTGCAAAGCTACTAATATTACGAGAACTGCAAAACAGTGTAGAGATCGGTAAGTGTAAGAAAATTACCGCACTATGGCACTGCACTGTACACAGCGTACAGTACGTATGCTCGAACTAAATAACTATTTACTTTTTTTTTCTAGTTATGCGAGAATCTAAAGCCGTATAGAGAATATCTCAAAGTCCTCACAGAACGATAACTCGCTTTATATATCTTGTATTAACATAGACATCATACAAACTCATGTATAAATATCAATATTAATAAACCTAGCATATATATATGTTCTGACACATTTAAAAGCCTGTGACAAGGTCGTGCAAGTTGTTTCGTCTAGTAATCAATGCCGCATTGATAGTACCTCAAGGGGATCCGTTCATTTCCCCGACAATCACTTCCCCGTCAATCGCTTCCCCGACAATCACTTCCCGTCAATCACTTCCCCGACAGCGACAATCTTTTCCCTCATCAGCTATTTTCCCCACGCTCATTTCACCGACAATCATTTCCCCTTCCCCCACACTTACTGCACCAACAATCATTTCCCCGACAATCATTCCCCACAATCGTTTTCGAAGTTATCTTTTGTCGATAGTTGATCTGCGTAGAAATAAATCTGGTGGGCAAGGTAGGTTTTTGAAAACATTAACAGATCAATCATTGAGTTAGTTTTACAGATTATACTGTAAATAATAACAGCGACGAACAAAAATTAGGGTTAAAATACTTTTTGGAGAAATAAACTGTCGGGGAATGAGAAATGAGCCGTGACCCTACGTCAAACGCTATTGTGTTCACTAAAACTGTTATTTAGTGCGATACTTACATTAAATGCTTCTAAAATGAAGTCAACATATTTCTTATAAATACTTCGAATATAACATCCTGAAATCGAACACATATTAGAGAGCAGACGGTTGGTTAATAGTCAGTCAAAAACATGAACATAGACCTACAATGATTTGTCTGAAAGTTGATTACTTGTACTAGCATGATATCGTTAATCGTTTGTTACTCCATGACAAACTCTACAGGATTGTAAATATATTAGTCATGGAAACATCTTAATCGCTAACAAGTTCTTGTTTCGAAGTGCGTCAATAAATAGCAGCATTGTACACCCGACAATCGTTCTCACCTACGTAGGTTTGCAGATCATGAAGTAGAATAAAAAATCAACAAGTTAGAATTCGTGTAGTTTAAAATCAGACGCATAAAAACACTCACTGTTGCACATGTTCTACAATAGTATTACGTAAAGTAGAAGCAGCTCTGAGCCGATGTGTGCGTTTCAATACATGTTGACGCGTAATTTCCGATAAAGACCTTGTCTGCAACGGTGTATCTGGATATTTGTGTTATTTGTGTTCTTTTATCAACTGCACTGATATGTTGATTATGCAATATTGTGTTGTGAGTAGAAAAGGTTAATGTATCAACTGACAAAATAGAGAAGCATACTTACTATATTTAGTAATAGCTTGGATAAGAGGCTATTGTAAATGAAAATTTCAGTAATTAGCAAAGTATTGTGAACAGAGACGGTTACTGTCGAATGTCTCTTGTGAAAGAACCAATAGTTTCAAGATTATTCGGACAAGTTGACTATGATAGTAAATAAGGGGTCTGGTTTATTTCCCCGACAATCATTTGACAATCATTTCCCCGACAATCGTTTCCGATAGTCATTATTTAATGTAGTAATGCATTTATCGATAAGCATCATAATACGTAATAATTAATTAACATGCTTATTCGATACTAACGTCTATTTGAATAACTGTATGCAAGGAATTTGCAAGGGAAATTACTGTCTCAGGGAAATGATTGTCGGGAAATGACTATCGAGGAAGTGATTGTCGGGGAATGAACGCCAATGGTACATTTAGCGTGGTGATAACTAATTCTACAAGAACATGTGTTGATGCTTACCGTAAACTCACAAGGTTGGAATGTAGTCGTGTGCAGGAAACATTATCAATCTGCGAGATAAGTTAGTGTAATATTGTTTTTCAGCAAACCAATGCGATAACAAAGCCCACATTTCTAGTAACTATGATTCCAAGTCGAGACTCTATAGGTGGTACATGGAAAGTCATCTACGAACCTTCCTTTCCTGGATTTTTGTCAACTGTTGCCTTCTGTTTACGTTTTTGTAGTCCGCATGTCTCAATGCCTCTTCGATAATAGTCATATGCACGGTTTACTTTGTTCTGTCACGGGTTCTGAAATTTCGATGACGTATTAGTATCGATAAGGCCCCAATTTAAAGTAAACCGGATTCAAATAATCAGAGTTCGGAGCTTTTTCGAAAAAATGAAACTCAAAATCTCAAACTTTACTTACCCCACTCTAAAGAAACCCAACATTACAGGTAATATAACACATGTTTGACCATAATACGATATATTGGATATCGCATACAATATGTTCTGCAGTAAGGAAGTCTAACATGAATGTGTATGTTTACGGACATTATCAAACCTTGCCTTATGCCTTAGCACCGGGCTATGGAGAGGCCTGTTTAAAGCTTAGAACTGCGTTTACTCCGTTTCCCGTCAATTATGCAGGGTAGTTGTTAAGCGGACATGTTAATGATTACTGGAAACGTTATTTCTTTATTCAGTGGTTGTCCTATTTCAACTTGACTATTGTTTGATATATAACCATTTGAATTATTTCTATCAACATATCTTTAACTTTAATGAAAATGACAACCGTCTATTATCACATCTAACCTTGAGCAATCTCTAGATAATATATACAATTTGGTGCAACACTTAATATAAACTAATAGAGACAACCAAACAATGTATGCATTTGCGTAGCGATGCATGCTACCATTTCCCTCTTCTTTTCCCTATGTAGACTAGTTACACGTTCGTTCTTTCGGTAATATCTATTTTTAATTAGTTGTACGCATTGGAAACAAGAAATCTTGGTAGTGCGACGACGAAGTCCACATTTACTACATAGTACTGTGTTTGATATATCTCTAGCAATTTTTAATCATTGCAGATGTTGAACAGTGGAGAGTAGTGGGCGATAAACAAGGTGCAAGTGATGGCTACGAGTTTAATGATAGTGGAATAAAAATGCGGTCCAAGGAGTGCAACTCTGTTTAGGTAACGCAAACTTAAACCTTTGTTAAAATTTTTCTTGTCATACCGATCCACATTACTGTATGCATTATCGCTATCAATGTTACAATAACAAGCCTTAAAATGTCAAGACAAAGTGAACATTAAGGTCCACAGTGTTTGATTGAGAATGGGCGTTTACATAACCACTTTGCTCCGCAAAAACAAATTGACTGACACGATTTGCGCTCCTACAGTTTGTCCACAACTCTCCAGTCAACCGGCATTGTTCTTGCTGCTAGCTTTACATTTGTTTTAGTCTTCTGTTTTCTTCAGTAGCGGATTGTGAGGACTAATATTAAATTATGGGCGGATGTCGTCACTGACATCAAGATTGCATAATTGAGATAGGCAACCACGTGCGCTGATAAAAACAGATATATAAGAAGCATCATGTTTGCATCATATTCAATAATATTCCTTTCTATAATCGAGTAGTTCTTTCTAGTCTGGTAAATTATTCGATATAGTTGTGAAACCCCTTCCTATGTTGATTAGGAATATCCGCCTCTTGTCTCGTGAATATTTTCGTGGCATTACTATTGTTATTCGCTTAAGATTTGAAGTGTGGTTGAATGCATACCAATACAACCTATAGGCTTCCGAATTAATCCCATCGAAAAGAAGTCAAGACGAATAATTGTCATAGTTTACAGGTCACTAATTGTAGATGTTTATGATTCTTTGGGAAAAATATAGATAGGTTCCGCACATCCACAATTCTGATCAGTTTCTACATTATGTAGCGTCTTTTTATTCCCAATAGTATCGTGATCCCGCTTTAATTGAAATCAGTAAAATGTCTATAATGCAGCGAAAGCTTTCTTTGCTGATTTCATTTGATCCATTTCATTTCCTCAATAAATTCATCAATCTGAAAAATGGCTATTTTTCTTCATTGTCTTGGAAAGCTACAAGTTCCTCAAGATCGTCCAATTATATAAGTTCTTCAAGATTGTCCAATTTGTATACAACTTCTTTATCTTTGAGGACAAGTTCTGTCAGCAAATCTACATTGCCATCATCCTCAGGAAATGAACTATTTGCAGTAGGTTGTTGTGTTATACGTTCGGCAATCAGACTATTATTCGTTAAACTCCTTCTTTTCTGTTCAGAACATCGATAACATGAAACGGGCAGATTTGCATGCCACGCTCAACAGCGGGAACATCTTTTAACCTCAGAGAAGTTATTTGAATCTGTAAATGATTGTGAGATATACACATTAAGATTAATGCAATCAACTTTTGCTCATGGATCATATTTACAAGTGAAAGTTACGATAAACCAACTGCTGATGTTCAAATCTGTTTGATCTAATGGATTGTTGCGAAGTGATTGAGCCTTTTACAATATAGAGAAGTAAGGAAGGTGAATAGAAAATATCGGCTCAAGAATTCATCTTTACATAATGATACGAGGGTGTCGTGCCAACAACTGCGGGAGGGCAGACAATCGTCGCACTAAGAATTTAGCTACTTTCTCACGGAGTGTGGCTTCTCCTACTAATAGTTAAATCAAGTATACAATTAGTGACCTTTAAACACTAGGCTTTTACACTTACGACTCACTGCGTCGATGAGGGACACTAATCAATTGTCTTCACGGTTCCTATCGTGGGATTAATATTAATTCGATAGTCTCCCGGTTGGGGTATAATGGTGTTTTCAATTATAACAATAATAATGCGCATCGATGTTCTGGCGTTTTGGAACTTGGCCCGTTTCGAAATTGTCACCATTTGTTTCAATGAATTACATTGTGTTGACAGCAGTTTATTGGTGCATGAGATTATCGTGATGTGACAATTTTGAAACGGTCAAGTTGTCTAGAACAGATAGAAACAATCAATTGTCGTATTTACCACAGGAATAATCGCGGGACAAGAGGCGATTATTCTTAATCGATATAGGGATTAGCGGTTTCACTACTATATCGATAATTTACCAGGGAATAACTAACTACTCATTATTTACAATAAGGAATCGAAAGTAATTAGAACCCTATGAACATGCACA